TGAGCCTAAATCAAGTATAAGCTGGTGATCTCTTTATTCCAGAACATTTGGAAAGAGGTTGATAATCCCTTGTTTCAATATCTGTCTATTAAAAAAAAAAAAAAAAAAAAAAAAAAAAAGAAAAAAACCCAACCTTATATTAAGCTTTACCTCCAAAAGAAGATTTCAAATTAACCATAACCTCTACTAGTGTGCATTTACCAGCCAAGGGTCACAGGAGAGCTCAAGCTGGAAAGGAGCTCGGGAGGTCAGGTGTGCTCAGCACCAAGGTCAGGTAGGGCTGCTCAGGGCTGTGCCCCCCAGGGGCTGGTGCCCCCCAGACTGGAGCTGCACAGACTCCCTGGATAGTCTGAATCTCTGCCCTCCAGCCTCAGGGGAGAGCGTTTCTCCCTCTATCCAGTCTGCACTTCTCTTATTTTAATTTATATGTGTGGTCTCTTGTCCTTCTATCATGTAGCACTGTGAGCAGTCTGGGTCTTTCTTCATATAGTCCAAACACGCTGTGCACTGTAGACCTCAAGGCACAATAAATTTACCTATGCTTATGTTGTCACTGGCAGGTTGGGTTAAATTACTTTTGGAGGCTGCATCGTGAGCTGGCAGCTTCTTTAAACCGTGATGTTTTTTTTCTAGCCACAGTTCAAGCTGGTCAAACGTGTGCAGCCCTGAAAGTGCTTACCTTTGCATACGAGGGCTGTTCCCTTCGTGTCAATGTGACTCCACACTGTGTGGGAAGTAAAGCATGTATGGAAATATTTGTATGGTCAGGCTGAGATAATGCAGAAGGATCTTGTGAGACTGAGCAAACAATAAAACAGCAGAATAAATTCATGGATATATATATATGTAAAGTGATATAGGGAAAGTAATCTTAACCTCATATATAAAATAATGGGCTTTGAGCTGACTGTTACCACTCAAGAGAAAGACCCTGGGATTATGTTCTATAAAAACAACTCCTTCCTAGCAATCAAAAAAGCAAATGGAAAGTTAGGAATTATTAGGGAAAGAGTAGAGAGCAAACGTAGCTATGCAGCTGTATAAACTTGTGTTTCTTGAATACTGTCTGCAGTTGTTGTTTCAGAAAGCACAGAGTAGAAATGGTACAGGTTCAGAGGCGGGTGACAGAGGTGACCAAAGGTACGAAATGGCTCCTAGGAGGGGAAAAAGGCTGAGCAGAGTTGATTCTGCAGCCTGGAAAAGAGGTGAGTAGAAGGGTGTTATAGCCAAGGTCCACCAGGTTCACGACTGAAGCAGGATCTGCATTTTTCCATCTCTTCTACTAAGTATCTTCCAGGGCAGCTAGTAGGACCCAGCTTCAAATTTAGCAAAAGAAGGAGTCTTGATGCACAAGGAAGATCTATGGAGTCCCTTGTTCAAAGCTATCTTGGGATCAGACTCACAGGAGTGGTCTGTTGAGAATAAAGAAAAAAAACCCAACAGAGTCAAGAAATCTCTTGACTGGAACTAGTAGGAATCTGGGACAACGTTCAGGAAAAATAGCAAATATGCTTGAATTGCCCTCACTCTTTTGGGGACATTTGCTTCTGGCCACAGTTTGAAACAACACATTGAGTTAGATCAGTCCTTGCTCTGACAAAGTATGGCCTTTTATATGGTTTTTGTCCAGGGTCCTGGTCTGTTTGCACTGAAGTTTTGATACTATTATATATTCACCTTGTGACAATTAGATGGAAATAAACTTTCACAAAAAAAAAAAAAAAAAAATTTATAAAAAAAAAAAAAAAAAAAACAAAGCAAGCTTGATAAAAATTCTATAGCTTGAAAATAAGGACTAAGAAATTTTTTAAAAAATCATTAAAAGACTTTCTTTGTAAGCTAGTAAAGAAAGGCTTAACAAGAACCAGTGATGGCAGCTGAAGCCAGATTAGGACTCAATACAGGAGCAGTTAGGTAACATGCAATGGCCTGCGATACACAGAAGGTCAGGCTAGATGATCTAATGTCCCTTCTGGCCTAAATATCTCTGAGTACAGTACTCTGGCAGCCACATGAATGTTGAAAGCAAACTCTAACTCAGTATGTTTTCTGTCAGTCACACTATATCTAGATAGATTTTCATGCCAGGTTTTTAAAAACTTGTTCTGTTGATTTTAAAACTTCAAGAACATAATATTGAAATTCAGGACAGCTTAAAGTCATGATAACCTGCTACCATCAGTTTGCATTTATTTGTGTAAATATTTGGTTTAGTTTCAATTAATGAAATATTTTCATCTTTCAGTTCCCTAGTGTTTTGCTTTTAGACTGTAGCTGCTCAGAAAATACATTTTTTCTCCTTCCATGAAATTTTGATTTCCAGATTTTTTTTATTTTCACCAGAACCACAAGACCAGTGAGTCACATATGGATTTCCCAATCAATTAAAGAATTGCTCATTCCCTACAGAAAATGTTAAAAGCTGGAAAGTGATTTTTGCATATCATGCAGTGCCAGAACGGGGACCTAAGTTGGTTTTAAAAGTGGGGAAAAGAAAAAATATATGAGTAAAAAAAACCAAAAAACAAACAAAAAAACCCCCCTCTTTGATAATTTCCTGGCCTCTTCTGAATTAATATAGGTGACAGCAGAAATTGTTGTAAGGTTACTGGCTTCAGTCACCCTCCTGTACTCCTTTCCCACAGTATATCCAGAAATCTATGCCTTCCTCTCTCCTTTGCATGCTCCCTCTCTCTCTGAAACTAAGGTTTCAAAATAATTTAAATCATATGTAAACAGACCTTCTAGTTTCAAGTTTCTTTTGGAATAGCCCATTAACTCTAATCACCTCCGATTCTTAATTTTGGGTGGCATTTACAGATTTCTACAAGTATACACAAAATCCACTGCAGATTTTATTAGCCTTGTCTAATAAAAACACATGCTTGAAATGAAACTGTTGCTTTATCTAGCCCATAAACTCTCTTTTTGTCCACTTAGGAGACAAATCTTTTGTAGAAGTCAGTAAAAGCGAAGGTTGTATCTGATATACAGATCAAGACCTGGTACATCTTAAAAAGCTCATAATCTTATCACAAAGCATGTAAAAGACCAAGGTTAGCAGCAGTGTCTTACTCTGTATGCCACATGGATTTGTTTCCAAAGCAATTCTCTACAATAAATTATAGGCATTAGTCTTTGGTATCAGATTAATACACACTCTTAATGAGTCAGTGGACTTGATTGAACGGGACATTTTCTCTTTTAATGGAATCCACCAGGAATCCACTGAAGAACTAACAAATAATACTTTAACAAAAACTTGAATATATGTCCACCAACTAATTGATCATGCTGGCTTAAAGGATTCACCAATCATATCCTGATTTAGCTGGTTAAAACATGGTGCTAGCAACACCAAGGTTGTGGGCTCAATCCCCATATGGACCATTCACAAAGTCTGGGCTTGAGGATCCTTGTGGGTTCTTTTCAACACAGAATATTCTGTGATCTGTGAGAAATTAACTTAATAAAACCCTTACTCTTCAGCTGCTTGTGTTGAAAAAGCCTCAAAATCAATACAATAGCATGTGCAAAATATGTCAAGAATAAGAGAGCCAAACCATTCCAAAATGTAGTTTCTAATAGGGTGTCATAATTTCAGTATGTCATTCTTAGTATGGTTCCAAGGAACCTCAGTAGTTCAGATGGCAGTCAACAAATCAATAAGGTACAAATAAAAGCAGCTGTACGTTTTGATTGTAACAGGAAAACTTCAACTTCTAAGAACAGCAGCCATAAGTCAGACCCACAAATGGCAAAGAGTATCCCAGAAAAAAGCACCTGAAATGTACTGATGAATAAGCAGGTGGAGAACCTCCAGTAAAAGGGCAAATGTAATCCTTCTATGTATAAAGAAGGAATCAATGCTCTGTGAGGGAACCCACGGGATTATGGAAATTAATTTATCCCTCATATGGCACATGTCCTATTCATTTTAGATGATGCACAATGCTCTGGTGTGTGCTTTAGAAAGATGGCAAAACAGCAGGAAGGGGAAAGGAAAGAAAAACAAATCCAATTCAAAGACTGGAGGAAATGTTTTCATATATAGCTGGAGAGGGAGTAAGAAGTGAAACTAGCCAGCTCTATGGCTCAATTAAGATACACATTTGGGATAGCAGAGACACAAATCTAGAACCATAAGAAAATTACTGTTTAACATCTATGAAATTAAGTATTAATTGGAGGGAGATCAGACTTCTCCCTCAAATGAAAAACTGCTTCCAACAACCTGTATAGTTGTGCTCGTATTACTTGACTGCCAGAAGGCACAAATGTAAAATGGTCGCCTGTTCACACAAATTTGTAAGAGGAAGGCTTTAGACATCCCAGGCCCAGAATATCCTTCAATGTGTAAAACATATGTTTTCAGTGTGGTAAGAGCTAATTCTGAGCCACTGGAGCAGAAAAAATGATAACCACCAGATACAGGGCATCCACTGCAGAGAGCCTGACCCAGGAGGCATGGCCAGAATTTAAGCACCACGGTAGGTGCTGCAGCCAGGATGGACTTTCCTCAGACTTGTTTCATCCCAACTGTCTTTAGGCACTTAATTCAGCTAGAGACCAGTATGGTGGAAGCTACTGAGCAAAGCAACTCTGGTTCTTAGCTGGGTGCAGGGCACTGGCGAGGTACTGAGTGCCAGCAGCCCATCCATGGTTTGGCACGGCTCAGAGCACAGAGCTCCATGCTCCCAGGTGGAATTCCCAGGGAGCTGGAGCAGGCACACAAACACAGCTGTCCTGCTATGGATGGCAGCTCCCAGTCTTCCTGGTCCCACTCAGGTACTTCCCAATAATATGACAATACTCCAGCTGTGGGCCTGCTGCTCCTGGGTGATGGGACCAAAGAAGGTTCCAGCATGGAAACACGTCATGGTCTTCAGCATGTACAGAAGATGAAGAAAAAACAGTCTCTAATTAAGTTACAGTAATCTGAGTGAGAGTACACTGGCTTCACAAAACAAGGGGAAGCACATTCATATTTAGGAGCAAAATAGTTAGCTAGTGCAATTTGAAAAAAAAAACAAAATCAACAAAAAACCCCAAGAAACTCTCGTATTTTTTAGATATTCAGAAAGCTAGATTTATTTTTTTATTATTAACAAGCACTATTAAGCTCTGTTAACTGCCTTCAACCCAGAAAAAATCCACTGACCTTCACCATAACTTTGCCAATGAGGAAACTGCAGGACCTGATCCATAAACATGAATTAAATTTCTGAGTCTATTACCTAGAGTCTGCAGTCATTAATTCCTTGAAGTATTCCTAATTCATTCCCAATAGGTAAATGATGGCAACACCTACCAATACCATTAAACTTAATAGTTGGTTATTGCTTGTATTAAAATTCCTTTTTTCCCCCAAATTTTAGACTACAGAAGGAACTTGGCATAGAATTTTTGGGCCTGGAAACAATTTTTATGCTTCAGATTTTCAAAGGGATCTCCTTGGCCTCCTTTAAGTTATAGAGACATAAGAAACACAGAGACAGCATTCAGAAGGGGACTTTTCTTATTGGTGCCTTGATGTAACTTGTGAGTGGATGGCAGTCCCTTAGAAGGTGTATCAGTGTATTTGCTAACAGACCTCAGGTTCCCTCATTTTTCACAGAGCACCTGCGTGTGTTTATAAGTGATGTGCAGATATCAGTGAGGGGCCCAACCAGCAAAGCCTAAGTCTGGATTCAATCATTCTGAGAGTTCAGTGGGTTTGGATCGAGGGATTTAATCTGAGCCTATTTCTTGTAATTTATTTTAAAGGTGAAAGGGCTTTTCTTCTGCCAAGATGAGAGTATAGGGCTGCAGGGATTTGCATTTCTCTTGCAGCTGTAGACTTCACTAGCAAATATGGCCTCAATTCTGGAAGCAGCTTAGCTCAGAGAGATCTCCACTGCGACAGACCGTCCCAGCACAGCCAGTCTCCAGAGACAGAGTGAGCCACAGCAGCTGCAGCCTGAGGTCAGAGAGGACCAAGAGAGTTCACCACAGCATTTTCATGCAAAAGCTTCAGAATGAAACTTGATGGCAAATCTATCAAAGTTCCTTCAGCAGTGCCCTCCTGAATACCCCTGCAGCACCAGCCTCTGGTGTCAGTGCCCTCAGCAGAGCGGGGAGATATATATTCATCCTCCAGGTAGCTTATTGGGAATGTATGGTTCTTTTTACAGCTTTATGGGTTTTTAAAACTGGATTTTCAATAGGTGGGACAATAATCAGAGTCTCTGGGGTCAGAGTCTCTGGGGTCATCAGCACCAAGAGCCTAGGCTGCTAGTGCCCCAGAGCCTACACAGAAGGAGGGGGTCGTGGCAGAGGAGGTCAGAGGTGGACAAGGGAGGCTGTGGTGAGGGACCCAAGCACTCAGTTAATGCTTATCTTCAGGTGATTGTCAACTGAGTACCTTATTAATCTCCTTAAAACTAATTTACCTACAGGCTACTGCTGGAAGTTTCAACTCCTGACATTCTCCTTCCCCAGGGACTGCTCCAGTAAATTAATCCCCTAAGTTTTTATTGAATTGTCCCCTTTCTGGATACCTCTTTTCCTCAGCCTTTCCTTAGCAGAATGCAATTTTGATTAAGATCAGCACTTGACCTGAACCTTGTGAACCCGTTGCCTCTGGGTATCACAAAGCTACGCAAAGCGTGCTTGCATGTTGTCCTGATCAACCGGGGAGGCTGAGTAGGGGAAACTCACATTCTCTGAAATATTTTCATACAAAAGCTTAAGAATGAAAGTTGATGGCAAATCCATCAAAGTTCTTTTGTGAAGGAATAACAATTCTACCATACCATTCCTGTTTACTGTTGAATTTCAATCCCTTTTGTTTTATCATCTCTTTCCTGAGAAAATTAGGAAGTTATCATTTTTAAATGACACTGTGAACTAAACTAAACTGTTCTGGAAAAAATTAGGATTTTTTTGGTTTTTATATGGTTCATGAGGAAAGGAATCAGTTGCATGAAAGAAAATCTTATTAGGGATTCATTCTTATAAAAATAAATAAGGTCTTACAATTCCAGATATTACAGTATCAGCAAAGTTATATATATGTTGCATAGAAATCTGTATCTGCCTGTGTACAGATATATACACATTTACACACATGCATGTGCATGCACTTATAAAACTATACTTACTCATGCTTGCTCTTGATAAATAGATACTCTACAAAGGTAAAATCATGTGTAACATTGATTGAAGTTTGCTTTCCTTGCATTAAAATCCAGGAAGCATGTGATGCAACATCTTACAGTCTCTGTGCTACATCTGACTAGCTCATATTGAATACAAGCTCTGTTAAGTTGAAAGGATTTCTGGTTTGTTTCAACTTGAAAGTGATTTAATATGAGGCCCAGAGAGAAAATCTGTCTCAGTAATCAAATTATAACAAGTAAGGATTAAAAGTATTAAGAAGTTTAAGCAATCTTTTAGCTGCCCTGTGTTCTTGAGGTCATTTGAAGCTAGCTGTGGGAATAAGTACAATAAAATAACAAGAAGGAAAAAAACAAAGTATTATAGAAGGAAATCAAAGAGCGTCCTTCAGGATTAGATTATCGTACAAGAAAGGGACTGAAACATTTTCCAGGATCCTTAATTCATTTTCCTTTGGGAAACATAATTTTAAAAGGATATTTTAATAACAATCTTTTCTTTCGTTGTTAAGTAGAAGGTCTACATCTTAAAAATGTAATTTATTTATTAAAAAAAAATCAATAAATGCTGATAAATGTCCACTAATTAATGAAATAAAGAGCGTTACCCAAACACACAATTTTGCGGACTTGGCAATACGGAATTCCTTTTTTATTAGTAGTTATATACATACGTATAAACATAAATAAAACAACACATTCATCCTAACTCAATAGTGACAAATGCCTGAAGATCAAATAGCTTTAAAGCAACTCATGTAAGTGTCTCAGTGCAAAAGAAAGCCAAGCTTTTGTAGGTCCTTTTAACAACTTTTGCAAAGAGACATCCTGAACCAACACACTACTGAGGTACTGGTGGCATCTCCAACTCACTGTAAGGAAAAGCTGAGGGAGAGGAAAAGAAGATCAGGGCACTGAGCCCATTCATTTATGTACAATTAAGGATTTTAATTAGGTTGTTATGGGGGAATTATGAACATCTGATCATAATAAGTTTTTTTCTAGCAAATGGCAACTTGTTTTCCTGACTCAGAAAAACCCAAAACTTATCCTAAGTGAGGAAGCACGAGCCAGAATGCACTGTGCAAGCAAGCTGGTGTCCAGGTTTGGTCAATAAGGCTCTAATAAACAATTAACAATTGTTAATAAAAAATTACCAATAAACTGCCAATTACTATTAGATGGTCTTCACTGCAGAAGACACCTTGCCAGAGGAAACACTGAGTCCATG